ACGAATGTGAAATGTTCGGTTCTTATAAAGTTAGGTATTTTTATGTATTTTCTGGCATGTTATTTAAGATGGCGATTTGTCTTTGTCCTGGAGATAATTGAATTACTTCTCAATTATCTCCAGGGCAGAGGGGAGGAAACCATATTGCATTGTGGGAAAAGGTTACATCTGTATGTCTGAAATGTCCCCATGTCTATCTGTCATTACAGTCTCCCATTTGGTCCCCTAGCGGAGTGTCCACCAAGTGGGAGACCTGCATAAATACGGGCAGGTAGCCCACAGTAAAGCCCACAGTTTGACCCTCAATGCAGAGATTCTGTCTCGTTATTGGGGGGATTTCTTATTTGCACCTAGAGACTGATTATTGAAACCGAAAGCCGCTTGGTGGATATCATTGTTCGGCGGCTAGCAGCAGTTCGTGGATTTCCGTTAGGGAGTTTGGAGCCTTTCACGGATCCCGGTCGGGAGATTACCACTTCCCCTGATGGTGGTTCGTATACTACAGTCTATGCGAACGGAGTTATTGGTATTGCGAAAGGGGAAGGTTAACTACACGGCGGTTTCTCTTAAAGACACCAGGGGTGTCTTAACAGTATTTATTAAGCAAAGCACTTTGACAGCTAAGTAGGGAAGTAAAATGATTAAAGGATTGAGATGGGCTAATATTGTTCCTATCCCTAAAAATAACAAGGATACAGAGCTAATTAGCAATTATCGCCCAATCACCGGCCAAGGTTATGGACTCAGAATTCTCTTCCCATTGGTTTAATATAAAAATGGGAGAGGTGTCCCTGTCTCCCCTTTTATATATCCTGGTTTTAGAACCCTTGGCAATATCCATAATGTAGAATCCTAAAATCAAAGGCTACTCATCAAGTCAAACTGACCATATATGCAGACGATATTTTACTATCGTTAGAGCCTGAATCCTCTGTCCCAGAACTTCTAACATAAATAAATAAATAAATAAGTATGCAAGGGTCTCTGGGTACAAAATAAACATAGATAAATCAGTCTTTATTGCAAAAAATATAACTAAGACAGGAAATCAAGGCTTAATAAATTAAAGAGCATGAACTTCTTAGGTATAGCCATAACCCCAGAACTAAAATATTTAGTGGAAGCAAACTTCCTTCCTCTACTAAAACAGACAAAACCGTGTTAGACTGGAGAGGAATGGGCTTCTCATGGTCAGGAAGAATCAACATACTCAAGGCCTATATAATGCCAAAATGGTTTTATCTATGGAGGATAATACCACTCAACTTTCCAGATAGCTGGTTAGACATGTTACACACAGCCTTTATAAAATTTGCATGGGAAGGGATAAAACCAAGAGTCAAAATGAAACAATTTGCTGAAAGAAGGAAAGATGGAGGCTTGGGTGCCCAGAGATACGCCCACACTATGAAGCCAGTCGCTTAGTCCATATAATACTAAAATAAAATAGTTCCACGAGTAATGAATCATGGAACATAATAGAGAAAAATAGCACTGGAGTAAAAAAAAAAAAAATCTGGCTTTAATCTTCTCGGCCCTAGATATAAATAAAAAGTGGACCGCAGATATAATCCTAAAAAGTACAATAATAAGAGATCTAATAATCTGGTGTCAGAAAATAAAAAAAATTGGTAGGCCCCCAAAACAAATTAAACAAACTACTGCCAATTTTGTGATTGATGAAAATTTAGAAAACATAAATCTAAATGCTTGGCAAAATTTGGGTATTAAGACAATCAAGGATCTATTCTAAGATCATAAATTGAAACCCTTCCTTCAGCTAAGACACGAATTTGCCATACCGTCCAAAGATAAATTTAAATATTTAAGGGTTAAAGGATTCATCCTCACCTTTTTTTAATTTTACATATTATAACAGCGGCCAAGTTATTTATTGCATGTAACTAGAAAACAACCAATATTCCTAATATCCAGGAGATTATTGCTCAAGTTGTGTAGCAAAAAAGAAAGATGGAAAAGGGCATATTGATGACCAAATACAAAAGAATCAATTAAATAGAACTCTTGAATAGAGTTGAGCGAACCCGAACTGTAAAGTTCGGGTTTGTACCGAACATTACGGTTTTTGGATCCCGGACCCGAACACAGACATTTCAGTGTATGTTCGGGTTGGAGTTTGGTGTTCGGCGATTTAATGGCGCATTTTGAAAGGCTGCAGGGCAGCCAATCAACAAGCGTTTGACTCATGTGCCCTTAGAAGCCATCACGGCCATGCCTACTAATGGCATGGCTGTGATTGGCCAGTGCAGCATGTGACCCAGCCTCTATATATAAGCTGGAGTCACGTAGCGCCGCACGCCACATGAGCTGTTATTAGTGTAGGGAGAGGATGCTGCAGCTGTGAGGGACAGATTAGGAAAGAATTCTGGTGTTGAATCTGCAAACTATAGCGATTATGTTTGTGGGTGCTATAATACATTTTTGTACCCTGCCCTGAGCCCAGTGCCACAGAGAGTGCAGTGCACTTGCAACTGCATGTGTGCCAGGCACATTACTTTAATCCTGTTCGGGTAGCTCAGTGGGCAACATCTAGGCATTTTTTTGGTGCTAAATAGTACATTTGCATACTGCATTTCTTGAAGTCTAATAAAACCCTTAAATACTACTGTTACATTGTTGGTTTAAAAAAAAAAAAAACACACACTTTCTTGTGCTAAATAGTACATTTGCGGCCTGCAGAGCACTTTATATCTGAGAGTCCAATAGAACCGTCAAATACTGTAGTTACATCGCAGTTTTAAAAATTCTAATTGTTTTGGTGCTAAATAGTACATTTGGGGTGTGCACTTCATATCTGAGAGTCAAGTAGAACCGTCAAATACTGTGGTTACATCGCACTTTGAAAATTTCTAAATTTTTTGGTGCTAAATAGTACATTTGGGGTGTGCACTTCATATCTGGTGTATGTGTGCAACACTGGCTAGTTACCGCTTCTCAAGAAAGTCTAAAGACAAATAAATGTTGCCTATGGTGCAGGTAGTATAGAAGGCAAGACTGAGACAAATCATTCGGGTTACGTTTGCCTGTTGACATGTTAATTATCTTAGACCATTAAAATTCAATAATCAATGAAAAAACACATTAAGTGTCATACAAAAATATGTATTATAGACAAGTTAAAAACAAGACTACAAGTCATGCTAGAAACAAAACTAAACAAGTTTTTAAATATGTATGGGCCAACCAGTGGCTGTAAAAACAAAGTTTTACTGGTTATATTCAGGACTACACACTCTAGTGAACAGGACCTTTATGCATTGTGTTCCTTTTTTTTTTTTTTTTTAAATCATACAGCATCTTTTCATGTGCTTTTCAGAAGTCATTTTGTTAATTACCAATTTTTGTTTAGCCTGATTTTTTTTTTTTTTTTTAAGTGAAAAATAAGTGTTATTGTGATCGCTTCATATACAGAAGCATTAATATACATTTCTATATTGTGTAAATACACAACTACAAAGTTAAAAACCAAACACCAAAACAACGTGCCAGACAATCTACCTGTGCATGGCTATTGTGATACAATAAGTCTACATCTTAAAAATGCAATAACCCACAGAAGATGGGCGAGAATTTTTTTTTGCAAGTGGAACTTTGATTCGAATTTACTACATCGTTCACTTGTAATATTGTTTCGCACCTACAACACTTGTTAAACAGATCTAAGTGATAGAAAACAGATTGATATTTTCTACACTAGAAACTACCAGATAACAAGCTGCTATATTTAAACCAGTTATCAATAGCTAAGAGGTAATGAAACAATATTGTAATTCTGGGGCAATACCCTCACAAGTCAAACTGAGAGGTCAGTTTATAGGGAAAACTGTTGCCTGGATACAATTCTAAAACAATTTCCATATGTCCTTTGCAGACTTTACAATTTAAATTTTTCAGTGATTTTAAACATGCGAACAAAAAAATATTTAAAAAAGTGTATATAAAAAAACAAGCTTAAAAAAATGAAAAACCCAACTCTGAAGCATGTTGTCATTCTGGATGTTCAGTTGGCCTGCAAAAGAATAATGAGTTATTAAAGTATACTGCACAAGTTCTACATACTGTATATTAAGTATTTGAACATACAATTTAGATTACTTGCACTTTGAATCTTTAACACTCCACGCAGCATTACCACTCCAGCTTGACAACTTTCCATGGGAGGAAGTTATCAGCAGGCCCCCAGGTGCAGATGCTCCTGTTCAGGACCTGACAGCACAGGAAGGTGCTACCAACACCCAGTGGAATCCAGGTAAGTTGTCAAATCGCAAGCTGACTACTTACACTGGGAGGGCTCCAGGACACACCTGGGACCATTATCTTTATCACTAATCTACAGGCTGTACCAATTATAGTGTTTGCCATTTCAGTAAGTTATTCTTAGTGAACTTTACATGCTGGAAAAACAGGTGCCAACTGCTTTGGCTTTCTGCAGTGTGCAGACCGACAAGGAGGGCAGGGTTGAGGAGTGGGTGGAGGATGAATGAAGGTCATGCGAGTGATGTGTGCAGTTTGGAGGAAGAGGCGGTGGTCGCACAGAGGCAACAGCACAACAAAAGAGGGAGCATGGTGCAAAAGAGGAGCGGCCGTCCCCTAGCGCTCGTCATGTATTAGCTCTAGAATTACCACAGTTATCCAAGTAACAGATGGCGCAATCAAAGGAACCATAACTGATTTAATGAGCTATTCGCAGTTTCACTGTAGCGGCTGTGCATGCTTTCAGCGTTCTCACCGTGCTGCTGAAGCGTAACTTCGGCCTTCCCGCTCACCGCCTCATATGCGACGTGCCCACAAGGTGGAACTCCACCTTGCACATGCTGGAGAGACTGTGCGAGCAGCAACAGGCGATAGTGGAGTTTCAGCTGCAGCACGCACGGGTCAGTCGCTCTGCACCAGACTTGCCCTCCAATAGATCCTTGTTAAAGGATTTAAAGTGTACTCATTCCAATTACAGGGCCTCGAAAGAGTCCTGTATTGTTATTTTTCATCACTACCTCCCCACGTCGGGAGTGGGTAATTTGCGTACCTGCTGCCTTCCTTGGATGTGGAAGCCATTTCTCAGGCTCCCTCTCTGGAATCCAACCCTGATTCCCCGTTACCATGGTCACCATGGTAGGCGCAGAAAGTAACATCGAAAGTTGATAGGCCAGACATCTGAATGTGTTGTCGCCATCACAGGGACGTGCGATCAGCCCGAGGTTAGCTAGAGTCCCCAAAGTACCTGCGCAACGACTGCCGAGTCTCCCACATTCTAACTTGTGCTGATTACTGGGTGGCCACCCTGCTGGATCCCCGTTACAAGGATAACGTGCCATTCTTAATTCCCTCACTGGAGTGTGATCAGAAGATGCGCGACTACCAGCGCACGCTGGTAGACGCGCTGCTGAGGGCATTCCCAACTGACACCGGGGGCTCAGTGGAAGCACAAGGCTAAGGCAGAGGAGGAGGAAGAGGTCGCCAATGCAGCTGGGGCATTGCCAGCACCTCACAAGGCAGGGTTAGCATGGCCGAAATGTGGAAAAGCTTTGTCAGCACGCCACAACAACCAGCACCACCATCTGATATGGAACGTCTTAGCAGGAGGCAGCATTTCAGCAACATGGTGGAACAGTACGTGTGCACACGCCTACATGTACTGACTGATGGGTCTGCCCAATTAAACTTCTGGGTCTCCAAATTGGGCATATCGCCTGAGCTTGCCCTTTATGCCTTGGAGGTGCTAGCCTGCCCTGCAGCCAGTGTATTGTCTGAATTTGTGTTTAACACAGCAGGGGGCATTATCACAGACAAGCGCACCCGCCTGTCCACAGCCAACGTGGACAAGCTCATGTTTATTAAAATGAACCAGGCATGGATCCCACCAGACTTGTCTGTACCTTATGCAGAATAGCCATTGTTATACTCAAGTGCACTTATTCTTTGTTTTCTTTTTTTTATATGTCCCAATATTTTGGGGGCTACCCCAAGTAAAAAACAAACAAATATAAAACAGTGTTGGCTACCTCCTCCACCACCGCTTCCACCTACACCACGACGGTCACCGCCTCCTCAACCTCCTACTCCACATCCACCTCCTCCTCCTAGAGCAGGGTGTAAAAGCGGAGCGGGCATCCCCTAGGGCGTCCCCAAGCATCTCCACACTGTCCCATGGAAGCGTTCAGCTGTCCATCTCCCAAACACTGGAGAGAAAGAGGAAGTACCCCCCCTAGCCACCCACGATCCCTGGCCCTGAATGCCAGCATTTCAAAATTCCTGGCATTTGAAATGCTGTCATTCCGTCTGGTGGAGACGGACAGCTAAAAACCTGATGGCGTTCTTGGACTGCAAGAAATGCACCGCAGGCCGCAAATGTTTCTTTTTTTTATATATGTCCCAATATTTTGGGGGCTACCCCAATAAAAAAATAAAAAAACACAACAAACAAATAAAAAACAGTGTTGGCTACCGCCTCTACCGCCGCTTCCACCTACACCGCCTCTTCCACCTCCTACTCCACATCCACCTCATCCTCCTAGTTCAAGATTATTATTTTACATTTTTATGTATTTTATGTTATTTCAAGTTATTTCCCTATCCACATTTGTTTACAGGGCACTTGTCCTACTCTTACCCCCATTTTACTTCCTTTTGCCCTCTAGCCCTTTCCAGGACTTTTTTAGAGACAGTTTAGTGCCCACAAATTCGGTCCCCATTCATTTCAATGGGGTTCGGGCTCAAGTTCGGGTCAGGTTCGAGCTCAAACTTTTTGACGAAGTTCGGCTGAACTTGGCGAACCCGAACATCCAGGTGTCTGCTCAACTCTACTCTTGAACAGCTGGTTAGTTATATTGGAAACAGAGGCAGTAAAAAATTAGTCCAGTGGGCCTCCAAAATATAATATAAATAAATAAATGTTTAAAAATAATATATATATATTCTGGGAAACAATAAGGGGAGGAAGGGATGAGCTACTCCAATCCCTCTCCCCTGTTCTTGCTTTTGCGTTTATAAATAGAAAGGGAGGAGAGTAGGAGGCTTGTATCCGTACCCCACAATAAGATACAGCTCAAACCTAGCAATATTAAATAGATATCTGATCCTATATATATATATATCATATATGGATACCTAAATACATTTAAATGGTGGGAGATGGGAGAGAGGGAGGAAGAGGGGAAAGATGACAATAAGACTATATTAGGTCACCTTTTATGGCTGTTCACCTATCCTTTCTTCTCTGTTCCTCCCTTCTCTAGCTGGTTTATTTTTTCCTGAATACTTATATAAAGGATAAGAGGACGTTCTCTCTCTGTGGAATAAATTAGCAAATAGTGTAACATGGGTAGGGGGATCACAGGAGGGATAGAGGGAGGTGGGAAGGGAAAAAAAGTAGTGATATAGGTAAATTTAGTAGAAATTGTTTTGCGTATTATGAAGGATTAGGAACAAGGAGATATCACTCACATATATGAAGGAGAAATATGGGGGGGAAAAAATAAATAAATGATGATAACGGTATCCATGCCAACCCAGAGAGCGGCATGGTCCCCAGACAAAATTAGAGACAATACCTATCTGATATTAAAAAAAAAAAGATGATTAAAAGAGGTATTATAGTTATAACTGGAGAGGAAGGAGAAACCGTATTTAAAGGGACACTATAGTCAACCAAACAACTTTACCTTAATGAAGCAGTTTTGGTGTATAGATCATGCCACCGCAGTCTCACTGCGCAATTCTCTGCCATTTAGGGGTTAAATACTTTGTTTATGCAGCCCTAGTCACACTTTGTTGCATATGGCTTGCACAGCCTTCCTAAACACTTCATGTAAAGAGTTGTCTAATGTTTACATTTCTTTTATTGCAACTTCTTCTTAATTTAGAATTATTTTTTTTTCTCCTGCTCTGTTAATAGCTTGTTAGACCTTGCAGGAGCCTTCTGTATGTCATTAAAGTTCAATCTACAGAGCAGGAGATAAGTAAGTTACATCTGATTTAAAGCGTAACCATTTTGTTTTCATGCAGACCATCAGTCACGGACAGGGGAGATGTGGATAAAGTTGTTTTGGTCACTATAGTGTCCTTGTAAAGTGAACCTGTTGTCAAAATATTATCTTACCTGAAATCGCTCTCATTGAATACATATGCATACATATATTACAAAGAAGCATAATGTATTCAATGTAAAAAAAAAAATTAGATGTATTCGCCTTCCCTCTATTCTAGATGATGATGATTCTTGGGTATTACTCTTCATGTAACATCAACCTCCTGGCCATCCTCTGCTATTCAGTGATTTGCCCTGCTTAGGCACACATCGCCAAGCATGGCAAACCTCCTCAGTGACATTGTGCTGGCATTGGAATGGAGTAATGTCATGTCACTCCATTCTTATACTCCCTAGACAGCACTAGAAGTTCTGGCTAGGATGTTTCTATAGCAACTATTTTTATTATTATTATTGCCATTTATATAGCGCCAACAGATTCCGTAGTGCTTTACAATATTATGAGAGGGGGATTTAACTATAAATAGGACAGTTACAAAAAACTTATGGGAACAATAGGTTGAAGAGGACCCTGCTCAATCGAGCTTACATTCTATAGGAACTACAGTGCACACGCTGTGGTTGCTATGCTTAGGAGAGCAGAATACTTTTCTTCTCTCCCTTGTCAGTGAATGCCTTGGCACACTGAAGCATTGACGAACAGCTGGGAGAAAGGCCTAGTTTTAAATAGGTTTCTCTCCTAATCTATACATTTGCTAGCCATACTGTTATCACAATGTACAGATAGAATTTGTTGCTGACTCTAATGAGCACAGAGTTGCTTCCCAGCAAGGCTAAAAAAATATATATATATATATATGAAAAAAATAAATCCTTTCATCCATTTGATGATGAGAAATTGAATGATGACAACATCTAGACCTCAGAATGTAAATAACCAGGGGGTGGGGCCTGACCGCAGGACTGAGAGGATGCAAGTCTCAGCAGCTCCTGCTACTCAAAACTGAAAAAGACAAATAAAGCTACAGAAACAACACTGAAAAGCTAAACAAAGTCCACCAAGTGAAAGGGAAAACTGGGACAAACACAAAGATACCCGTCAAGCGACATTTGACACGGTAGGCACCCGACACACTGACAAGGCCTACCAGCATGGCAGGTGCGGGAGAGACGGCCGCTTTCTCGCTGCCAAGCACGGCTGGAAATCTGAACCAGAGCCCTCGTCCCCCCCCCCCATTGACCGGTGGGGGATATCCCGGTCCACCCCCACTCGACCCCCCAGCCAAGCTACACTTGAGCAACACAGCCACAAAGCCTGGAGGCCGCTGGCAAGGCCTACACCATGGCGAAAGGTCCACTCACTGCTGCCCAGTGCGAAGTCAGGAGGGAAACTGAGCTCAGTTACAACCGCATCTTCAGCACACTCTGGGAAAAGCTAGAGGCCCTCATGCAGACTCCCGAATCAGGAGCCACACCAGGAGGCATATTCCAGGGTCCGACACGTGCAGTTGCAGGGAGTGACATGGCATACCCCCCACACTGCGCTTGCGCAATGGGCAAACACCGGAGCAGACGCCGTCAGCACAGAGCGGCCAAGATCCAAAAGAATCCCATGCCACACCACCAAAGGCTGCCCCACCGAGGTGTTTAGACCCAACAAAGACCCAAGAAAGTCACAGCCCACCTGAGAAGATGACGAAGCACAAGGCCCACAATGGCGGCACACACTCACAACAATGCTAAGCCAATATGTACGCTATTGTGGTGCTTGACAAAAGCCTTAACTCAAAAACAAAAATGCGCAATTATCTATGCCCCTGTGTACGCTCTTGTGGCATATGTCAATGTTTATGTACTCACCTGCGCAACAAAAATAAAGAATAAAGGGGCGTGGCCTGACCAACGATCGAGCAGGACGCACGAGGCTAAAGCTCCGTCCCGTAACCACTGCCTATAGCGATATTTAGCGCTTTTCCTTCAGCGGTACCAAGCCCAAACCCCTGCAGGATGGACAAGAGGAACCCCAAGAAACACCCCAAGAAGGGGCAGGAGTCGGGGACGTCGGTAGCGGATCAATTTGCCGCTGCGAAACTGACCCCACCACAGGCCCAAGATGGGGCCGGAGCAGGCCCTGCACCCACGAGCTTGCCACCGCGCAGTCCCTCCTCATTGGAGCACCGGCAGGGGGAGGCTCCACAGATTATGGCGCAGCTGACGGAGCTCAAGCACAACCTGGCAGGAGAAATCCAGAAATCCCCAGCAGTCCTGCAGAACGAGATTCAGGCGCTGGGGGCCAGAACCGCGAGATTGGAGCATAAACAGGAGGCTGCGGTCGATGCTCACAATTCCGCCATCCTCCAAATAAATCGCCTCACATCTCGCTTGAGAACAGCAGAGCTGGCTATAGAGGACATGGCCAATCGACCCCGAAGGAACAACCTACGCCTCTGTGGGCTCCCGGAGACAGCTGGGGAGGGCCCTCTGATAGACCTCGTCTATAGCATTCTCAAGCCTCTCCTGCCCGAACTGCCGGAACACCTGTGGCACATTGAACGGGCACACAGAGCACTCCGAGCCAGACGGGCAGACCAGAACAGCCCGAGGGAAGTCATAATGCGCTTCTTTTACTTCCAGACAAAAGAAGCCCTTCTGAAGAGGAGCAGAGAGATGCCCATCCGACACGGAGAGGCCAACCTCTCCTTGTATAAAGATCTTGCCCCCTCCACGCTTCAAAGACGAAGGGAGTGGAAGCCCATCACGGATGCCTTACGAGAAGCAGGCATCCGCTATGCATGGGGCTTCCCCTTCAAGCTCATGGCTTTCCGGGGCGGCCAAATCCATGTACTTCAACCAGGGGACTGTCCTACCCTGGTGTTCCAGGCCCTGGACATCCCGCTACCACAGAGTCTCCCCACGGTCCCACTGGAGCAGGAGGACCTTGGCCTACTAACCAGAGACTGGTAAATTGTGGATCGGCACACTAACTGAGTCCAGTATGGCGCGATGACCCAGCCAGCCACTGTGGGTGACAGCACGGGGGGTGAGGGGGGCCTCTTCGGACAGGCTCTGCTGGGGGAGGGCCCAGGGGGCACGTGACATTACACTATGGGGGTAGGGGCTCCATAGTGATTGTTTGGGAGGGGAAAGGGATTTAGCGGGGGGGGGGTGGCTGGTGCTCGCGGCGGTGTAGCACTTGGCGGGCGGGACTGGGACCTTGGGTGGTCGGACCTTCCTGAGGACACAGGGTTTGCAGTTGTCGCTCTCCCCATCCCTCCCCTCTTATATGTCAGCTCCGATGGCTGGGCTGCGGGGGGGGCCCGGGGTGGGTTTGACTGCTCCTCTGGACTGCACAGCACTTTGGGGGCAGGGCTGTGGCCTTGAATCGGTCAGGCCTTCCTGGAGGTCACACATGGTCACCAATTGTCCTGCTTACCTGGGCCCCTCTCTCCCCGACTTTGGCGGTGTCCGTAGGATACGACCATGACGCTTAATATAACCTCCCTAAATGTAAAGGGACTAAACTCCCCCAAAAAGAGACGCCTGCTGTTCCGCGACTTGAAGCGCATGCACCCCGACATTGCCTTTATACAGGAATCCCATCTACCTAAGCACGCTACAGTCACTTAGGAACCATACTTTCAACACTGTATATGAGGCCAGGGCTATTAACAAGCGCAATGGAGTGGCGATTCTGCTTAGGCATGATTGCCCTCTCAGGGTCACAGCTTTCGAAGGTGACAGTAATGGCAGGTACATTATCCTCTCCCGCACACCACACACACAGGTCCTTCATCTCATAAACGTCTATGCTCCTAATTCCCCAGAGGGAGACTTCTGGAAAACTTTAGAAGAGAAGGTACAGTCCCTTCCACATGGCATACAGGTCCTGGGAGGCGACTTTAATGCGGCTCCGTGTCCAGCCGGGAATAGGAGCGTGAGGGTGGGGCAGCCACGCTCGCAGGGCAGGGGCGCTCAAGATAAGGTTTTCCACAGGTTTGTCAGGACGACGGGACTCATTGACATCTGGAGGGCACAACACCTGGGAGAAACCGACTACACTTTCTTCTCGGCCCCCGCCACACATACTCCCGCATAGACATGTTTCTGATCAATAGCATCGCCGTTCCCAAGGTTTCACGCACCAGCATTGGAAGTATCACCTGGTCGGACCACGCAGACGTACACATCAGCATTAAGCACATAGGCACAGCCCCCCGTGGACGTGGAGGCTTAACGCCTCCCTCCTAAATGACCCTCTGGCGGTGGCCTCCATTAGGGACAATCTGTCCTTCTATTTTGCCACTAATGCTTCCCCCGACCTCACCCAGGGCACACTCTGGGCCGCGCATAAAGCGGTAATCAGAGGCTCATGTATAAAACTTGCCACCCACAAGAAAAAGGCTAAAACGCAACGCCTCCGAGAGCTCATGGAGACCTTGCGAGGGAACAGCACCACAAGACCTCCCCCATGGTAACCACACTTGCCCAGTTGGACACGACTAGACGGGTGGTGCAGGAGCTCCTCCTGGACGACGCAGCCCGTAGCCTCCTTTGGTCCAAACGGACCTATTACGTGAAGGCAAATAAAATGGACACTCTCTTGGCCCGCACCCTATGACCGAGACAAGCACGACACCATATTGCCTCGTTGAAACACCCTGATGGCACCATAAAGACAGCCCCAACTGATATAGCCTCGATTTTCACCGATTTTTATAGGTCCCTCTATAACCACTTCCCATCCACCGTACCACAGCAGGCGAGCGTGGTCGACTCGACCACCGCCTTCTTACGACAGTTGGACCTGCCCAGACTGACCCCAGAAGTGACAGCGGTCCTCGGCTCCAAAATCCCTACGGACGAATTAGACAGAGCAATCTCGAAACTTCACGGTAACAAAGCCCTGGGCCCTGACAGATTAGGCAGCAGCTACTATAAGACCTTCAGGGAGACACTGCCCCCTTACCTGACAAATCTATTCAATGAGTCCCGGACAGGGACTTTACCTTAGCTAACATAGTACTGATCCCGAAACCGGGCAAGGACCCTCAACACCCAGGGAACTATTGACCAATATCGCTTATTAACATGACGCGAAGCTACTTGCCAAAATACTGGTGGAAAGACTTAACCCTTTCCTCTGCAAACTCGTGGATGCCGACCAGGTAGGTTTTATACCTGGGAGGCAACTATTCGAAAACATGCGTAAGAATTATGACATCATATGGTGACAGCACAAAAATAAAACCCCCACCCTCATGGTATCACTCGATGCTGAAAAAGCTTTTGATAGGGTGAAATGGCCGTATATGTTTACACTCCTCGAGGACCTGGGACTCCCAGACCCATATATTACGACTATTCGCGCACTATATCATGGGGTCACGGCACAGGTAATCATCCCCGGGACCCGCCCACGCCCGTTCCCACTGTCCGATAGTACGAGACAGGGGTGCCCGCTCTCTCCCCTTCTATTTGTCCTGGTACTAGAACCACTCCTACAGGCACTGCGCACACACACCCGGACATCCACGGTGTAACAGTACGGGGAAGGGTGTTCCTGGTCTCCGCATATGCTGACGACGTCCTCCTGTCCCTTACGTCACCGGTCATCTCAATGAGGGCGATGCAGGAGATCCTCTCACAATTTAGCCCGCTCTCGGGCTACAAGCCCAACATGTCCAAGTCGAGCGCCTCCCTCCTAAATGACCCTCTGGTGGTGGCCTCCATTAGGCCACCAGACGTAATAACACACATACAAAGGGACCACGGTATCCATGTAGCTACACATTCCATTACATATTTGGGAGTCCAATTGACTGCGGACCCGTCCAAGATGCACAACTATAACTACCCCGATTGCCACCCTTATTAGAGACATGGAGAATTGGGTCGACAAGCCCATATCCTGGATGGGTCGGATCCATTCCATTAAGATGAATGTCCTCCCCAGGATCATTTTCCTCTTTCAGGCCCTCCCCCTCCCACTGACAAAAGCAGACCTGGCCCACCTACAAAAAGCCATCGGCAATTTTATATGGCAACACAAAAGGCACCGAGTGTCGAGACACATACTATACCGCCCGAAACGTCTGGGAGGATTAGGCTTGCCTAACTTACATAATTATTAATTGGCTGCTCAGCTGGCCCAGATAGCGATGTGGCACTCCCCAATAGATACGAGAAAATGGGTAGAACTGGAATCTCTGCTCACGGGAGCAGATCTTCTTCAATACCTTATCTGGGTGCCCAAACCTTAGACCCATGCTGCGTACGGACTGCCCTGCTATCACAAACTCCATCCACATTTGGGACAGGGTATACCAGAAATATCGACTGGCCTCCTCCCCCTCTCCCCTTATGCCATATCTCAGAAATAGGGCCTTCCCGCCCGGTCTGGTGGCTTGAGTGTTCCATAACATTGAACAGACGGGCCTGCAGAGAGCTTGCCAACTATATGTAAACGGATCCGTCATCCCCTTTGACACCATGAGGCGGGAACACCATCCAACCCCAGCCGATTTTTTTCAGATATCTCCAGATTGAGGATTACGCTAGGCAACCGCTCGTTCACAAGGCTGCACTCACCGCCCCCACCTTCTATGAAAACATATGTCTCGGAGAGCAATCTCCTAGAGGCCTTATCACGCTGCTGTATGTGCACATATGCGCAGAAACCAAAGAATGAGGCAACCTGACATACACTGATCATTGGGAACGGGACCTGGGTGAGGTACTAGAGGGGGTGGAGTGTCAGGAGATCTGGGAGGCGACAGCCACATCTTCCATATGCATTTCTATGCAGGAACATCCTATAAGACCCCAATACAACACCCCAATACAACTGCACCGCATGCGAAAGCTGCCCACGGATTTATGCTGGAGGAAATGTGGCCTTAGAGGGACTTATATCCACATGTGGTGGGAGTGCCCCACCATACAAAAGTTCTGGGAGGAGGTTAGAAGCATACTGGCCCAGGCCTTCCGGAGGGCTCCTGCCCTAGACCCGTGGACATTTCTCCTAGGCAGGCCGATAGATAACTGGCCCAAACACGACCTAAAACTACTCAATAAAATAACACTGGCAGCCAGGCGGACCGTAGCACAATACTGGCTAAAAATGCAGCCCCCTCCTAGCTCGCTGGTTCTGGGGAAAATAAAGGACAGCTATCTCATGGACAATCTGACTGCCAGGGTAATAGGCACCCAAAAGACGTTTGAGAAGACGTGGGGACCGTGGAGGGAATGCCCCTTAGCAGAGTGATGGACCTGATGCTATATTGGACGGTGTGGCCGCTCCACGGGGGAGTGGGTGTGCCTGCCGCCCCCCATTCTCCCCTCCTTTCACCTCCTGCCGCCTCCTTCCCCCCCTCTCTGCGGGTCCTCTCGGGCCCCTCCCCGCGCCTGGTCTACCCCTATCCTCCTCTATTCCCCCCCCCCTTTTTCTTCTATACTTTTCTTCCATTTCTTTCTCTCGTTACGGCCATCACTCTAGACAAGGGCCTTCTCCTCTTTTCACACATATAGCATACACAGGCACTGATAGCTCACTGACGCTCACCATCAGCATATTTACCCACATTATAGCAGGCCAGATAGGTAGGCACCAGGGATTAGAAGGGTTTTACACTCACAAAAGCTGAAGCTGCATCTGGCACATCACTAGGAGCTGGCTAAGGGCACCACAATACAGATGAGATTCCGCATTCGGATCAGTTAAGCGGGCCCTTTACCCCCGCACAACCAAGCCTAGCGGCTCCAATGCTCCACTGAAAGATGCATACGACCACACTCCTACACTACAACCCTTAGCAAGATGCAGGGTAGGCACCACCAGCTACCTATAGAAACCTTTCACCCACCTGGCCACCTCTGCCCGAGACATTGCACATTAAATTTGTAACTTGACGAGTTATGTATGATGTATGTACCCCCACGGGAGAGCGTTATGTATCAGCCATGTAAAGTAATTTCTTATCTCGTGTTTTACTTCGCATCTCCACAATGTATGCTTTTAATGTAGTAAGGCTCTTTCCGCCTGACCACAGTTCTATGTTATGAAACGGGCACATCTTGTTTTGTCTTATGCTGTTATGTCAAACAAAAATCAAGAATAAAAAAAAAAAAGAAAGAATAAAAACAAAGAAAGAATGTAAATAACCTTCTGATCTCCCTTCTGATCTAGGGCTGGGCCATTGTCTCATCTGTCTTGTGGCAGGAGGAGGAGAGGTCATTAGTGCCAAGTTAGCCTCTGTGCTGGAAACCCTTTATTTTATTTAAGGTATGGCACTATAGTGTTAGGAATGCAGGTTTGTCTAGTGTTCCTATAGCTGAAAAATTTTACTGCCCAATCTCAATACTGGATGATTTAACCCCTTCCTGAAAATGGTTAACGACCACGGACGTCCCGGGTACGTCCGATCGCAAATATGCACTTACCTGATCGCCGGCGTTCGCGTTGTGGGGACTTGCCTGGCATCCCAGGCAATACCCCTGCAGCTGATCCGGGGTCCTCACGATCACATGGCCAGAATAGCCGGCTTGTGCAGTGACTGCATGGGAAGTGCCTGAGCTTTCAGGCTGTCCCCCTCATGCTTGCAAAAAAGTTTTAAAAGTTGTTAAAAAGTTTAATAAAGTAAATAAAAGTACTTAGATCATATATATATATATATATATATATATATATATATATATATAGTAAAAATGAAAAAAAACCTTGTTTTCTCGTATATATATATATATATATATATATATATATATATTTATGATCTAAGTACTTTTATATACACATACACAATCCATTATTCTAAGTCTTTTTTTTTCACATGTCTCTTTTTCAGAGATTTTTTTTTCAGATTTATATAACAGTACATAGAACAACAATGCATGTAGTCCATCAAATCCGCACACGCAAGTACGCCGACAACGATAACATTAACAGCAGATACATTGGAGGGAGGGTAACAGGCCTGATTATGCATGGACATCAGCAAGAGAATTAGGCCTGGCTTGACAGACATATCAGAAGTTACCTATAACGGAGGATAGAAATAGCATAGTGCAGTATATTTGTATACTAATGGGGGTACCTGATATAGCTAGCAATATAGTTAGACATACCTTGGCTTTTTAGAAGTACCACTCTGAGCATATGTTATATCCTTATTCTTCACCAAGCTGTGTGTACTGTCATATCCTCCTACACACCGTTACTTAATTAATCCTCTTGCAGTACGGAAGTATAGGTTATGGTAACTTGGTTGGGAGGCAGGGAAAGTGGGAAAGAGAGGGGGAATTGTGCCCTTCAGAATGACTAGGTCTGTGGGGTGGAGCCGCTTGGTGCGAGGCCTCTGTTTACCCGTGATGGCCTCCCTGATGCCCAACTCAACCCTGCCCTAAAGTGTGGGGGCTTTGTGGTGTCGGCTGTTAAACTGGTAAATCGTGCCACTTTGGGGTAGCTGGTTTTGGCATCTGTAACGTGTTTAGAGTACAGTGCACCCCTCCCAGCTTTCCGACATTTTAGCGTGAACAACCTCTTTGCCTTTCAATCTATAGGCAATATGTTCATAGTGATCGATTGTTTCGACCCATTTCCAGACTTTGTGGTTAGTCGGAATATGCACCCTTTTCTACTGGCTTGCTATGCTGGTTTTCGCAGCTTGGAGTATGTGGACAATCTTATTCAAGGAAGTCCAAATCTATGGCACAATGTGAAGCAGCAAGCATTCAGGTTTAAATGGGAGTTTGATTTACGTGAGTGTACGTATAGCTCCCTGTATCTTGAGCCAGAGACCTGTAAAGCAAGGGCAGTCCCATAAAATATGTTTCAGCATGCCTGATGGATGGTTGCATCTCCAGCAAGCTGGAGACGCGCCCGGATATATTTTAGTTAACCTGGAGGGGACCTAGTACCACCTCATCAGAAGTTTGCAATATGCCTCCCAGTGGGTTAGATTGCCGCAAGAGGCCGTAGTGATCTGGACAGCCTGTAGCCACACAAGGATAGGAAATGAGGTGGCTAGATCTGCCTCCCATTGGGTCATATATGGGAGTTAACTCGTGGCGTCCACGTTTTTTTTTGTTTAATATCATTTTTATTGTGTTTTCCAGAAGTGAAATCAAAGCAAGGGGTACAGAAGAGACAAGGGACTTGACAAAAATATAACATAGTGGGGGTTCCGTTTAATTATACATAATTATTAAATCAGACCTTTTCGTATACGTAGTCCTGTCTTATGTTGTCGAATTATAATGGTGGGTGGGGGTATGGGAGGGTGAAACCTGGGAGAGGGGAAGTGGGTGGAGGGGCGGTGGATGGGGGACGGGGTATCCTGTCGCTACTTCTCTGTGATGTAGTTTAGAGTTTAGAGTTTTCCAGCTATTGCTGTAAGGGACTTCCGATTTTCCGTATGCGACTAATTTAAGTGCTCTCGCTACCGGTGGTCATGGGCTTGATTCCTGTGGGAGGGGACTCCCAATAGGTGAGCCAGGGTTCCCAGGTTTTGTAGTATTTATCTCTCTTGTCCTGTGTCGTCCAGTGGATCGTGGCGTCCATGTTAATTAATGCGTTATAACATAGCAACAAAAGTTTAATGGGTGTTTTTTTGCTCGTGGAGCATTGGCCAAAGGGAGTCAGTTGGGAGTCGTCTCCTATTTGAATCTGGATTTTCGTTAAAATATGTTTTACTCGTAGATAAGTGAATATTTCCCTAGAAGGAAGGGAGAATTCTGTTTGCATAGACTGGTGAGTGAGATATCATTGGATAGGGATGTAAGGGACTGTGTAGGGGCTCTCAACGCCAGGCTAAGTTTCGGCTTTTGCCGTTTCAGTATTTGGCTGTGACTCATTCAGTCTCCATTTACCTCTGCCCCTGACTGGGTATAGCGAGCGTAAGGTAACAGTAACAGAGGCATGATCAGACTAAGTCCTAAAGCCTATAGTTACTTCTGCAATGTATAGTCTTTCTCCTCTGAGTATAAACTACGGCAAGTATCATACAGGTCATGGATGTGGAGTAGGTTAGAGCCGTTGATAGTTTGGTTGGGCGTTTGTTGCTATCTCGTTTCACATCTAATGTAGGATCTAGGGTACAATTGAAGTCCCCACACAGTATGATGTGGCCAAATATCAGTGTATTAACTTTTTTCAAGGCTTTGCGTAAGAAAAATGCCTGTGCCTCGTTTGGGGCATAAATCGAAGCTATCGTGATTTTATAGCCATTCAAGGTCCCTGCCAGAATCAGGAGTCTCCCTAATTCACTTTGTATTGCTTTTGCACCTGGAATACCCAGTCAGAGTGGAAAAATATAGACACACCTTTTGATTTATGTGGGGAGAGCGAATGGAAGGCCTGGGAGTAATTTTTAGGGTGAAAGTAGATCGTCTTGTGTGCACAGAAATGGGTTTCCTGAAAGCAGACAATTGCCACTTTGGATTTATTCATTTCTTGTACAGCTAGCCTGCGTTTGTAAGGGCAATTGAGGCCTTTCACATTAAGAGATAGGCATTTAAATGAGTCTGCTGCCATAAGAGAGATTATAGTGAGCAATCTAAGCCTAGCGTGAGTGCACAGTTAACTGTGCCCGACAAAGCTAGTGGTCGAAGCCTGCCAGTCGGGTATGTTATGTGTCTGCATGGGCGTCCGCAGGGGGGGCAAGTGGGGGCACTTGCCCCCCCCCCTCTGGATTTTTCAGCCTGTTCTGCTATTTTTCGTGTGAGATTAAAATGAACTGCAATACCGGCGCCGGCCAGTAGGTGGGTATGGAGAGAGACAGGGATAGGAAGCTACATCATATCCCTGCATCTC